CTCCTCCTCCTCCTCCGCCTCCAGTGGGGTGAGCTTGGCAATCCTGGCGTGGTTTTTGCTTCGGCTTCGGCCCTTGGAGGTCTTTCTGGTCCCAGGGGCCCTGAAAAGCGGGTCTGACCGCGTGCGTGTTTCGCTGTGGATGTCTGGCCTAAAACAATTTGGAGATCGAGATTATTTTGACGAACTGGGGTAAGAGTCTTCTATCTTGGGAGTCTCGTTCGCGCCTTTTTCAGTTCCGCTCCGTTTTGCACTGCCGTGCTTTTTGTGTTGCTGCTGAGTTGGCTGGAAACCGAACAGTTGAAAACGAAACAGACGCCTCCAACTTTTTCAACATCAACTGAGGTGTGGGGGGGTGTTCCCAGCTTTCCGATCGCCCCGCTGCCAGGCTGGGCTGAATCGGCGGTTCCGCAGGTTTAGCAGCCAGCGCCGCCAGCGCGAGAAGCTCCGCGCCAGCGCCAGCCGGCGGCTCAGCAGCTGGTAGTCCTCGGCGGAGGGACTTGTTCGATCAAAAGCCATACGATGATGACGAGTGTCCACGTTCCAATTGCTGGGATGGGGGCTCCACCGTGCCACGTTCCAGAGAGAAGCAGGAGGACGCGGGAGAGGAGGAGGACACTCGGCTACACGCAAGGGTGACCCTGGGTAAGAGTGACCTACGGCGTGCGGCTTTTTGGGGCCGAATGGGGGACCAAACACAAGCGCGCAAGAAGCTACTGCCGAATCGCGCTCGGCGATCGGGGGACCCCACTGGGCCCGCACCAAAGGTCACTCTGGCGAACGGTCACTCTACGTCTAGCCGAGACACGGGCAGCAAACACACGTCAAGCAACGCAACGAACTCGCTGGGAAAACCGCCGGAGACGAGCCTAAGCACGGACCCGTGTCCCCTGGTGTTCCTGGGCGGAGGGAGGAGGAGGAGTGACCATCCAGCCACGCGCGAGAGGGCGGACGGTCCTAGAGGCCTCCTAGATAGGGGTCGGAATCGATGGGGTCGGATACCGCGCCGCGTCGCCGATGCAGTGCGGTGCCGTGGGACTCGTCATAATGACTCGCAGGACGTATTTCGCTGTCGCACTGGATGAAGGTGCGCCAGTTTTCATATTTGAACGGTGGGATGGTCTGCGCACTCAATGCCAGTCAGCATGCGCTGACGTTCTCGATCCTGAAGCATGTCTGGATCAAATATTGAAGCGCCATGTGTACACTCGGGGACAGTTGGCTGGCAACCCTGCTCTCGAAACTTTCCTCGGCGCCCTGCGTGCAGCCAAAACGTTATGGCACATGTTCCTGCACCCAGGCCCGAGATGAAGGCGATGAGGGTCCTCGTGGCCGTGCTGTCCATGCCCAATTCCTTGGCCGCCAGGGCATCTCGACGCACAGGGTGTGGCGAGCGTCGGGATGTGGATCAGCTGCTTCCCGACTCCCACCCCTGACGATGACTTGGCCTCTCTCTGGTTCGAATTGGGGTCAAGTCCGTTCCATCTACCGCTGTCGTCTTTCGCGGCGGTGGGCCGGCGCTAGCCAAGTACCGGGTCCTCGGCCGCGACGGGGCGGGCAGCGTCTGCCGGCGCCTCGGCTCTCGAGGCTCGGTCCGCGCTGGCCTGTGCTGCTGTGCCCGCGTGGTTGCCTCGGTGCTGGCCTCTCCGTAACCGTCTCGCCTTCTCCTGCCCATGGTCCTCCCTGCCTCCAGGGCAGGTGTTCTCAAGGGGCCCAAGGACACATAAATAAATACACACAAATAACATGATTCCCCATATTTTCCAATATTTTCTGGGTTTTTGTCTTCCCCCCCCTTCCCCTATTTTCTTATATTTTCTGGGGAATCGAGGATTCATTGTGTCTGTGTGTTTCTTTCCCTCCTGAGTGTTCTCAGGTCTGGGATACTCTGGGGCTGCCTGCCTGTCAAGACCTGATGCTGATGTCGGGAGACGCCTGTCTCCAACAACGTGTAGATGAGCGCTGCACGTGGACAGTGCCTCCGCCAGGGCGTTGACCTGGTGCTCGTATTCGCAAGTCGGCGCGCGTGCTCTTGATTGCGTGCTTCGCGGCGTCGCTCTTGATCAGCTGGGCCGCGTATAGTCGGCGTATAGCTACCCAGCTTTGGTATGCTGTGAGAACGGCTTCCCGATCCTTGTCCCGTATAGTCTGTCCAGCAGCAAGTCGAATACAGCGGCCAACGATTTGAAATACAGTTAGCTCACTGTGGGAAATCAGGTTACACTGCACCTCGTGTTTGAATGCTCCAGGTGCGCTTACCGAGCGGAGAGTGGAGTCACCCTCAAGTGTCACAGACTTGCATGATCATGCTTAGCCTCACGTTGTCGAGGCACAGTTTCCCAATGATAAATTCTGCTGGCTCGTAACGTCGCAAATTTTGAAGGCTGACTCGAACTTTGAAGCGCGTCCAATCGGGGTATCGCGTTTGACCTACTCCCGTGCTGACCCGGGGGTTTCCGCGAACTCGTGACGGGGCATCTTCGTCTGAAGGCTGGGGTGGAACTGCTTGGAGCCTACGATGTCTTGTTGGTCTGTCTCCAGATTCGCTAGCACTGCTTTCTGGCTCGTTTACGAGAGCAGCCGGTGCATGTCGGATGACGTCGTAGCCGCTCGTCCCTGCGGACGCTTCGTCAAGGGCACGTGGTCTTGGTGGTTTTGGATGCGCTGCTTGGCGTCCTGAGGATGCTAACGCCTGGCCTGCGTCAAGGGCAAGACTCTTAGACCCTCACGTGGTTCTTCGTTTGGCATTCCAGCCACGCGTTCGGAATCGTAGTCTGGTGGGATCTAGGCTCCCAGGGGGTGGCGTTCCAGACAGGGGGGTGAGCTTGCCGGAGCAGCGGTCCACTGTTCTGTTGTCATGTACCAGAGTGGTTAGGCGAGCCTTGGAGAGGGCGTGCACGAACCCAACGCGTCCTTGACGCCGTCATTGTCCAAATCAAACCCGGCGCATACTTGACACAAAGGTGCAATGACTCTGTCCGGAGCGAAGCCAGCGTCTACTTGACACCACCAGTGTCCGGATCTGATCAAGCGCCTGCTTGACGCCATGGGGCCCAACCCGGCGCCTACGTGAAACCACCTGCCCTGAGCGAACTCGGGGCATAATGACACCACAAGTGTCTGAGGTACACCCGGCGTCCACTTGACACCGCAAGTGACGCCAAGGAGGAGTGGGAGTGATAGGAGGAGGAGGAGGAGGAGCAGGAGGAGGAGGAGTCTTCCCTCCCAAGCCTCCGAAGCTCAAGCTTGCGGGCTGGGACTGTTGGGCCAGGGTGACGATGTGGGGCTTCAGGCTCGGGGGCACTCCTTTAAGCCTCTAGTTGGACGCACCCCCCTTAAAGCGTGCGCGCGCACGTAGACCACGGGTAGTACACGTGGTCAGAACCGACAGGATTGCATGCCTCCAAGAAAAGTTTTTGGGCAGACACCCGTGGAAAAGCCCCGATGGACGCCTGCATGTGGGCGAGCTTAGCGAAACGCATACAAACGAGCGCGCGTGAGGCACAACATTCCTTCATAATATGATGGTGATGATGATGATGATGATGATGATGATGATGATGATGATGATGATGATGATATTGATGTTGATGTTGATGATGATGATGATGATGATGCTGATGATGATGATGATGATGATGACAATGATGACGCCGATGGCGATGACCATGACGACGACGGCAAGGGCGACGGCGACGGCGATGTCGATGTCGATGACGATGATGACGATGATGCTGATGGTGCTGAGGATGCTGCTGATGCTGATGCTGATGCTGATGCTGATGCTGATGATGCTGCTGCTGCTGATGATGATGATGATGATGGTGGTGATGTTTAGGGTGAGGATGATAGTGGCAACGGTCATGATCATTATGATGATGGCGACGATGACGATGATGACGACGACGATGACGACGAGCACGAGCAGCGGGGAAGTGGGACGAGAGAGCGGAACCGAGGCGAGGACTGCGGGCGGAAGCGGAGGCGGTGGCGCGGGCGGAGTTTGGGAAGAGGCCCAGGCAAACACGGACGCCTCCTTCGCCTCGTCGTCGTCGTCTTTGTCCTTCTCATCCTCTCCTTCCTCCGCCTCCTCCTCCTGCTCCTCAAGAGGAGGCGAGGGTAGAGCGAGGACAGTTGAGAGCAGGGATGCGGCCTGAACGCCGCCAGCTCGAGGAGGTCATTCTGCCATCCCCTGACAGTGGCTGTCTGCTCTGTCGGTGGCGTGGGCGTCTGCCACGCGCGCGGCCTCGCTTCGCCCCGGCCGCCCAGGTGCCCGAATTCACAGGTGCGCAGGACGGCGGGAAGGCAGGGGGACCCACGGGAGAAGGGCGCAGGAGCAGGATCGGGTCCGACGAAGGGCGGGCATAATAGACTAGCGGGGGAACGGCACAACATCACCGTCTTCGCCGTCGAGGGCGCCTGTCCTAGGGCGGCCGGGAGGTTTATGCAGTCAACCCGTCTAGCAAGGAGGCGCGATGAGGATGCAAGGGCCCTGGAAGGCCACTTCGAAGCTTCTCGAGCGGGGCGCGGCCAACGAGAGTGGCCAAGGATGGACCGAGTAGGCAAGGATGCAAGGGTACCCTTGGGAAGGTTGCCCATCCGTATATACCGTGCGCGTTGACTGTAACATGACCTTTTTTGCCGTCGGGGACGCCTGTCCGAGGGCGGCTTGACAGTTTTAACTTCTACGGTGGCACATCAGTTGTAATTTCTCCAGCCGCCCTAGGACAGGCGCCCCCAGTGACGGGCAAATTTATGTTATACGCTCTTTGCCCGCGAAGTACAGCGGGGGTTGGCTTGCAGACGACTCCTGGCGCCAGAAACGAAACCAGCTGCACGCAGCACACTTCATGCCCCCCCCTCCCCTCTGTCCCCCTCTCGTCCGCCCTGACGAGGGAGGGAGGCGTGTGGATGGGAAGGACGATGGCACGGCGACCTCGGCCGTGGATGCCGATGGGCCACGGCGAGCGAGAGCGCAGGGCGCAGAAGGAGACCAGGCGCGCTCACGGCGCCGTCAGCAGCGCGGTGTCGCGGCGCTCCCTCTGCCGCCTCGGGCAGCACGAGCCGAAGCACGAGGCCCCATCGCCGTCCAGGTCCACCGGCGTGAAGCGCACGAAGATCCTGCCGGAGGGCACCAGGTCCAGCTGTATGAAGCGGGACTGGGCCCACAGCGTGTCCCCCGTGCGCCCCGTCGTCGCGCCCCAGCCGACGGCGCCGCTGCCCGTCGAGGGCTCCTCCAGGCGGTGCACCTGGGCCGCGCCCAGCTGCACGCTCGCCAGCTCCGAGCTCCCCAGGATCTCCTGGTTCTTGACGGCGATCTTCAGCCTGGACTCGGCGTCGAACTCGTCGAAGTTGAGCTGCATGCTCTCCTTGATGACGCAGCTGTGGCCCGCGCCCTTGTGCACGCGGGTGCGCATGCAGACGTTGTAGCCCAGGCTGGTCTCGACGAACAAGTCGTTCCTTCTGTGGACGTTGGCGGCCGGGAGACCCTCGACCTTCCAGATGTAGATCTCGATGGGGCGGAATCGCCACATGGACCAGCAAGTGGCCCAGTCGCGGAACTCCGCCGACCCCTCTGGGAGGCCTCTTGGGGAGCTGCTGGCGGTCTCGGGGTGCATCCTGGGGCGGAGGGCTCGACATGCCAGTTGGTGTTCCCTCTCTTGGGCCCCTCTTGGGCCGCCTTGGGGGCCTCTTGGGCTGCCTTTGGGGCTATCTTGGGCCGTCTTGGGGGTGCCGGCGTGGGAGATGGGACAGGCCCAGGAGGCTCTGCGGAGTACAAGAGAACCCGAGCCCCCTGAGACGGGCCGTGATGGCCCCAGGCAGCGCGAAGATGCCGCTCACAAGGCCCAGGAGGGCCACATGAGTCTGGCAGTACGGCCGAAGAGGCCTCCGAGACGACCCACCATGCCCGAAGAAGCACGCGATGAGCAGACTCCAAGAGAGGACCCTGGAGTCCCACGAGAAGCCCCAGTAAGCCAAACTCATAGAGAAACCTCAAGTTGCGAACTAGTCATTGCAAGCCCTTTTTCTATCTCTCTCCCACTCTGGCTGTCTTTGTTTTTTACCCCGCCTCCCAAGTCTCCTCCTCCTACTCATCCTGCTTCTTCCTTACCCCCTCCTGGTCCGCTTCGTTTTACTCACCTAACACCTGCAACAACGAATCGTGGTCTTGAACATATCGATCGGCCAGCTGATGTGGCATCAGCCCTTTGCATCACCCACGATGCTGCCAGCGTGCTCAATGCCCAAGGCGGCAAGGATGCGGTTCTTGAATTTCCAGAGCACCAGCATTATGAATATGCTGGCGGCACCCACCAAACACTGCTGCGTCTTCATGATGCACACCTCCGCGACAGTGACGGCCGCGAAGAAGACATCGTTCACGCTGATTGTGTCGAGCTGACTGACGGTGCCCACGAAAATTATCAAATTGACCAACGCGATCGCGGGGCACACTCTGTGCAGCCGGGTCTCGCAGCACCGATTGAAGGGCGCGACCTTGGGCAGCGCGCACAGCAGCGCCATGCACAGCAATGCCGCTGCCAGTACGAGCATCTCGTGCGTGCTCTTCTCGCCATCTGGGGGAACGCACAGACACCGATGCCGCGACTCCCCGGACCTCTCCTGGGGCGCGCCCTGACCAGGGCTTCGGGGCGAATCCAGCCGTGGCGGCGATTGCTCTCCAGGACTGTCAGCGGTGCTGGTGCCCCCTTCCTCCTCTGACCATCCGCGCCGCCCGCGCCGCCCGTGAGGTTGGGCTCCGCCGCATCGGCCACGGTCGTGCTGCCCGCGGGGCCGGCGCCGCCCTCCCCGAGCCCGTGCAGGGCCGCCTCGAGCCGGGCGACCTCCGCCCGGAGGCGGTCGTTCTCGGCGAGCGCCGCGGCCAGCGCGCCCGCAGGCGGGGCGCTCGAGGCGTTGCCGGCGGTCTCGGCCGCCGCCTCCGAGGCATTCCTGGTGGAGTTGGCTCCCACCTGTAGTTTGTTTGGTTTGGGGGGAGCAGGGGATGGGAGCGGACCGCGAGGATATACACAACTCGCCTCGCCAAGCGTGCTGGCAAGTGTCAAGTTCGTCGCAAGGCTGTCCTGCCTGCGAACGTGGCCGAAGCGCAACTCCGTGAAGACGGGAGGGGAGACCAAGGAGAGTCGGCTCCCACCTGTGGTAATGAAAGAACAGCGCGCGCTCAAGCATTCGTGGAGGAGGCAATGGAGCAGGGCAAGGCGAGGAGGGCGCTGTAGGCGTTATGGGTAAGAGGTCGGAGGCGGGCTCCCGTTCAAGCGGGGACCCCCGTCCGACAAGACGCACCCAAAGCCCCCCGTAAATTCCACCACGAGAGATCTGGGGGTCGCATAGGTGTGGGTGCTGGTTGTCAGCTTTCGCAGCTCCGCGCGGATGTCTTGGATCTGCGCGGGGCCTTCGCTGGCGCGCGGAGCGCGCCAGGGGCGGCGCTGGGAAGCGCTGCCCCAGGGTGGGGCCCGGCGCAGATCCAGGAAGCCCGCGCGAAGCCCCGAACGTCTATGTTGATATGCCGCTTGTTCTTGGCCCACCACTTCGGCCGCCGCCCGCGAGGCGTTCCCGGTGGCGTTGGCTCCCGCCTCTCCCAGACCCCCGGCGCCATGCTCTTCGCACGAGGTCGACCCCCAGTCGAGGGCGTCCAGGAGGGGGGCGTCTCAGAGGGGGGGTCGCACATCATGGCCAGCGGCACGTGCGCGGACGAGGGGGGGGGGCCCAGAGGACGCATTGAAATAGAAAGAGGGGGCCACGAGATCTGGTGAGATATCGTGGCCCCAGCCATGACTTCGACGCACCCTAGCCATCGCCCCCCTCTTGGCCGCTCCCGACCCAGACATCTCGACCCACTCGCCAGGACCGGGTTCTCATCCTGCTGCGCCGTGCTTGGACGGTTCTGGGGCCCGGCGAAGGCCCCCAAAAGGCCGAACATCACCAAGCGCCGTCCGTCGTGGCTTCTGCCACGACGCGAGCACGTCTGATTTTCGGGTCCTGGCTCGGCTCTCTGGCGTCCCGTGCTCGACGACCCGGGCACCCCTCGGAACGCTCTCGGCAAGGCGCAGCCGCTGGAGGGCATCACAAGGCTGGAGAGCCGCCGAGCACCGACGCAGCCGCCCGAGAGCCTCGAACCTCGACCCGCCCCAGAGCCGCCCGTCGTGACCTTGTGCTCCACGACCCGATGGGGTCCCTCCTCCTCCTCCTCCTCCTCCTCCTCCTCCTCCTCTGCCTCCTCCTCCTCTGCCTCCTCCTCCTCCTCCGCCTCCTCCTCCTCCCCTCCTCCTCCTCCGCCTCCTGCTCCTCCGCCGCTCTGCCTCCTCCTCCTCCTCCTCCTCCTCCTCCTCCTCCTCCGCATCCGCCCCTCTTCCTCGTCGTCCTCCTCGTCGTCCTCCTCGTCGTCCTCCTCTCGTCCTCCTCCTCCTCCTCCTCCTCCTCCTCCTCCTCCTCCTCCTCCTCCTCCTCTCTGGTCGCCTTAGCGCCCAAGCCCTCGGCGGCCGCGGCGGCCAGCGCGGCCACCAGCAGTCCCGCCGCGGCTCTGCTGGCCATCGCGGCCGCGGCCCATGCCGCAACGGAGCGGCGGGGCTCCTTCCCGCACGCTTCGTGGGTCCGCAGCTCGAGACCCAAAGTCGGCAACGGCCCCAGATCTCCGACTACAGACTATATTTGTCTTTTTGGACCAGCGTGGTTTCCTCCTCCTCTTCCTCCTCCTCCTCCTCCTCCTCCTCCTCCTCCGCCTCCTCCCCCCCCTCCCTCCCCTGACACCCAGACCCCCCTCCTCCTCCTCCTCCTCCTTCTCCTCCTCCTTCTCCCCTCCTCCTTCCCCTCCCTCCCCGTCCCAGAGGGGAAGCAGATACGGATGCCGCTGCTCGTCCTGGAGAACCGTCGTCGCCACGGCTGGACTCGCCGCGAAACCATTGGCCAGAACGCGCCCCGGGAGAGGTCTGGGGAGGCTCGGTACCCAGATCTCAGATGATGTGATTTTTCAACAAGCGGTCTTTCCCCGATTTCAGCCCTCGGGGGCCAGTCAGCGGGCAGGGCGGCCACCCCGTGTGGACCTGGGGCGAAAACCTACTCATTGTGGAAGCGGTCGGGACCTCTGGGGCCACGGATTGATAGGTCGTATCGGCGGGTGTGAGGGGTTGCTGCTTGTCGAGAGGCCTCTTACATACGGTCTGAGTGATAAGACGGGGTCGGAGGACCGCGCCACATCGCCAATACGTCGCCGATGCATGGGCGCCGTCGGCGTGGAACCAATCTTGCTCCGCATCGAGCCGCATCGGCGATGCATCGGCGAGGCGGCGCCGCCCTCTGACCCTTCGCCGCTCGGCCCCCATCCGAGAGGCCTCCCGGCGGCCAAGCCCTCTGGAGACGAGCAGGGCCCCGCGACGCCACCGCGCAGAGGGGAGACCCCCGCGCAGCCCCGGGGGGGCCACGGGCGGGCCCACCCCGCGACGCCACCGCGCCTGCAGGGCTATGGTCGCCGAGAGGCCCCCGCCCCCGACAGCAGACCCGCGCGCGCGCCACGCCGCGGCGCGGCGCGGCACCCCCCGGGGGCACGGCCCGGCGCCCCGGGCGGCGGCCCCGCGCGCGGGATGTCTGCCGCGGCCGCCCGCCCGAGGCACGCTGTGCGGGCCACGGCGCGGCAAGCGGTGCAGCTCGGCACCTCCGATGGCGTCGCGCCGCGGAGATGCCTCCGAAGACTCCCTCGCAAGGCACTCCGGGCCGGCCGGCCCGCCGGGCCGAGGGCGTGCTGGAGGCTCCAGAGCGAGGGCCCTGGCGGTCTGCACTGTGTGCAGTGGGGGCCCGACCACACGAGACCCTCCACGAGGAACCCAACCCCGAGACCCCAGGACGTCCATCGATTTTTGGTGTGGGAGCGTCATGCTTTCCATCGCAAAACCATCGAAACCCAAGACACCCAGGGCACCCTGGAGACAAGCAAGGTGTTTCTTGGCACGGGTCTCCACCGCACCTTGCGTGCGCGTGGCGGCCCCCGCGGAGGTTGCCAGAGGGAAGGTGGCCTGGGCAAGCCCCGGTCAAGTCTGCGGCGGGATGCTGTTTTGTGAATAAAAATATGGTGTTTGAGTTCATTGTTTTTTAAATTTTCGGGGGCGGCCAAGAGGGGGGCGTCCAAGAAGGGGGGGCGCAAATCATGACCGGCGGCACGTGCGCGGCCCAAGGGGGGGGGCTGGGGACGTCCTGGAATAAGAAGAGGCGCCCTGAGATCTGGGGAAATATCATGGCCCCCGCCATGATATCCCCCCCCCTAGTCATCACCCCCCTCTTTGCCGCCCCCGAAATTTGCAAACCTGGTTTTTGCGTTCTCAAAAGCCAGGACTCGCGGGAGCGGATCCGAGAAGCAGCGGCGCGGCCGCCGTCATGACGCACGGGCCGCAGGGCCCTCCCAGACCGAACGGGTGGCCGCCAGCATGCCTCCTGGAAGTTTCACGGCCGCGCGCCAGAGCGGCTCCGAGTGGCCGTGGAGGAGGCCCCCCATCAAGGATCTTTCTCTTACTTGCTTTCGCGAGATTGCCGCCTCAAGCATCCTGACCTCGCGGGCGCACGCACTTTCACGAGATTGCCGCCTCGACCATCCTGGCCTCGCGGGCGTACCTCCTGGCGGACCGGGAAAGGCTATATCCTACAACAGCCTGCGCAAGAACCTGCCCCGAGGAGGCCAACAGGAGGCCCAACAAGGATGCCCCCCCAGGAGGCCAACGTCCTACAACAACCTGCCATGTTTCATGTGTTCGTGGCTCCGTCGTCTTTTCGCTTCCGATGGGCTGAAACCCAGGCATGGGGTAGCTCCAAGAGGGCTTCAACTGGCCATCGCTCGGACGTCCATTCCCTGTGTTTTTTTGTTCGATTTCGTGCGTGGTTTTTTCGCCAAAAGATCAAGGATGCTCCTCGATGGTCCTCGACGAAGGAAAACTGCACACGTCCGAGCGATGCCGAGTCAAGAGGGGACCACGCCGAACGAGGGACACTCTTCTGGGGCCGGCTTGTCATCCCGAGTCGCTTGTTGACTGCCCTGGGGGTCCTGCCGAAGGAGCCCAGAGCGCGCAAACGGCCAGACCCTTGCTGCCGTAACCTTTCACGACGAAAGGGGTTCTGGGGAGTGAGGCGGCGGCAGCGGAATTTAGCATGATGTCGCGGCGAATCCAGCCGTGGCGGCGAAAGCTCTCCAGGACGAGCAGCGGTATCTGTATCTGTCCCCGCTCTGGCACAGGGGAGGGCGGGGGGGGGAGGGGCGGAAGAGAAAGAGGAGGAGGAGGACGACGAGGAGGAGGACGAGGAGGAGGAGGAGGACGAGGAAGATGAGGAGGAGGAGGAGGAGGAGGAGGAGGAGGAGGAGGAGGACGGGAAGATGAGGAGGAGGAGGAGGAGGAGAGGAGAGGAGGAGTCGGAGGAGGAGGAGGAGGGAGGAGGAGGAGGAGGAGGAGGAGGAGGAGGAGAGGGGGTCTGGGTGTCAGGGAGGAGAGGAGGAGGAGGAGGAGGAGGAGGAGAAGAGGAGGAGGAGGAGGAGAGGAGGAGGAGGAGGAGGAGGAGAGGGGGGAGGAGGAGGAGGAGGAGGAGGAAAGGGGGAGGAGGAGGAGAGGAGGAGGAGGAGGAAAAGGACGAGGAGGAGGAACGAGGCGGAGGAGGAGGAGAGGAGAGGAGGAGGACGAAGAGGAGGGGAGAAGGGAGGAGAGGGGAGAGAGGGGGTCTGGGTGTCAGGAGGAGGAGGAGGAGGAGTAGGAGGAGGAGAGGAGGAGGGAGGAGGAGGAGGTAGGAGGAGGAGGAGGAGGAGGAGGAAGAAAAGAGAAGGACGAGGGAGGACGAGGCGAGGAGGAGGAGGAGGAGGAGGAGGGAGGAGGAAGAGGAGGAGGAGGAGAGGAGGAGGAGGAGGGAAGGAGGAGAGGAGGAGGAGGAGAGGAGGTCTGGGTGAGGGGAGGGAGGGGGAGAGGAGGAGGAGGGGAGGAGAGGAGGAGGAGGAGAGGGGAGGAGGAGGAGGAGGAGGAGGAGGAGGAGGAGTCCAGCGTACCAAGCCGTCTTCTTCCACTGCTCACAAGGCCTGCAGCTTGCAGCACCTCTCCTGATCCGCCGCGCGGATGGAGGAAGACGAAACGAGAGGAACGGCGGCAGCCGACAGCAGCGGCGGCGGCACAGACAGCGAGGGAGGAGGAGGAGGAGGAGGAGGAGGAGGAGGAGGAGGAGGAGGAGGAGGAGGAGGAGGAGTGGAGGAGGAGGAGGAGAGGAGGAGGAGAAGGACGAGGAGGAGGACGAGGCGAAGGAGGAGAGGAGGAGGAGAAGAGGAGGAGGAGAGGAGAGGAGGGAGAAGGAGGAGGAGGACGAGGAGAAGGGGGTCCGGGGGTGTCAGGAGGAGGGGGGAGGAGGAGGAGAAGGAGGAGGAGGAGCAGGGGAGGAGGAGGAGGAGGAGGAGGAGGAGGAGGAGGAGGAGGAAAGGACGAGGAGGAGGAGGAGGAGGAGGACGAGGCGGAAGAGGAGGAGGAGGAGGAGGAGAAGGAGTAGGAGGAGGAGGAGGAGGAGGAGGAGGAGGAGGAGGACGAGGGAGACGGCGAGGGTCCTGCCCGCACGCTGCCAGGGCCTCCTGCGCATCGCGCCGCAGGTCGCGCTCGCGGCTCGCCGCCTGCTGGAGCGAGGCCAACCTCCACACGCGCAGCCACGACGCTCCCTCGCGCCGCCCCGCACCTTCCGAGGCGGCTGGGGGGCTCCTCGTCGCCGTCGTCGTCGTCGTCGTCGTCGTCTGCTGCGCCGCTGCCCGCCTCGCGCCATTCCGTCTGCTCCTCCAGGACATGCTCGCGCCATGAACCAAATCACTGCCAGAGGCTTTTGACCAATTCAGAGCTGAGCGACGATCCAAAACGGGTCTTGCGCGCGATTACGTGGCGACCTGACGCGGTGGCTTACGCGGGCTGTCGGCGCGGCGTGCTGCATTGAAGACGAAAGCGCTTACGCGCGACCTTACGCGGGCCGCTTCGACCCCGTTTTTTCGTGTCGCTCAGCTGTGGGGGGCCTCGCGGGCGCCCGACACCGTGAAGAGCCGGCTCACAATGAAAAGCCAGCCCCGGGGGAAGGTCGAGACTTCCAGGGACCCCGCATTGGCAACGTCAAGGCGTCGCGTGTCTTGGCCTCGCCCACTTCCTCCCGCGACCCGGCCTGGGCCCTCTCCTCCTCCTCCTCCTCCTCCTCCTCCTCCTCCTTCGCCTTCTCTTCCTCCTCCTCCTCGTCCTCCTTCGCCTTCTCTTCCTCATCTCCATCATCAGTATTATCACCACCATCACCATCACCGTCACCACCACCATCATTATCATCATCATCATCATCATCATCATCATCATCATCACCACCACCATCACCAGCATCAGCATCAGCATTAGCATCAGCATCAGCATCACCATCCTCATCCTCATCATGATCATCATTATCACAATCAACATCATCAACATCATCAACATCAGCATCGTTATCACCATCACCATCACCATCACCATCACCATCACCATCACCATCACCATCCCATCACCACCATCATCATCATCACCACCATCACCTATCACCATCACCATCACCATCACCATCACCATCATCCCATCCACCACATCATCACCATCCCATCATCACCATCATCACCATCATCACCATCATCACCATCATCACCATCATCACCCATCATCACCATCATCACCACATCACCATCATCACCATCATCATCATCACCATCATCACCATCATCATCATCATCATCATCATCAGCATCAGCATCATCAGCATCAGCATCAGCATCAGCATCAGCATCAGCATCAGCATCATCATCAATCATCATCATATCATCATCATCATCATCATCATCATCATCATCATCATCATCATCATCATCATCATCATCATCATCATCATCTCCTCCTCCTAGCCGTCCTCCATGGGCGGCGGCTCTTCCTCCTAGGGATTCGCAGCCCGATCTAGGCCCCCACGTGCTGAGCGATCGCCAGAGCCCCGGCAACACGGCTCTTCCTCCTCCCCCGACCTCCTGGGCGGCTCCTCCTCGTCCATCTGTGAAGGAGCCCTGGGACACACACGAGAAAATACACAAAAAAAAGATTCCCCACAGTTTCCCATATGTTCTGAGTTTCTGTCTTCCCCCCCCCCCGCTTCCCATATTTCCTCGCATTTCCTGGGGAATCGACGATCACTTGTGTCTGTGTGTTGTTTCCCCCTCCTGAATCTGCTCCTCGCCCCCCTCCACAACCCCGAGGCCCGGGCGCTGCCCCTCACGCCCGGCGTGCCTTCGCCCAGGGTCCGGCCCCGGGGACCATGGAAGGGCCCCCTATAGGACACACAAGTAAATACACGCAAATAAAAGGATTCCCCACATTTTCCCATATTTTCGGGGTTTCTGTCTTCCCCTCCACTTCGCATATTTCCGCATATTTTCTAAAGAATCGACGATTAATTGTGTCTGTGCTTTTTTTACCCTCCTGAACCATCACAGACCGATCCAGCCTGCACAGTGCAGCAGAAAGGTGGGGCCCGGGGCTTCGGTCGTGGCTGTGAGCGTGGTGCTTGTTCGGCGGTTCGACCATTGGACGGAAAGGGGGGGAATCGACGATTAATTGTGTCTGTGTTTTTTTCCCTCCTGAATCGCTCCTGGATCGGGGACCATCGCAGACCGATCCAGCTTGCACAGTGCAGCAGAAAGATGGGGCCTGGGGCTTCGGTTTCGGTCGTGACTGTGAGCGTGGTGCTTCTTCGGCGTTTCGACACTGGGCGGAAAGGGGGGGGAAGGGGGGGTCTGGATCTGCTCAGCGCGACTGTCTGCAGCCGTGCGTCTGATGGGGGAGGCCCCACCTGCTCGAAGCAGGCGCCAACAAAACAGCCAGGATCTACTCCATGAGGGCAGGGGGGGCGGGGTGCGAGGGCCCGCGCCGATCGGCAAGACAATGAGTAAGAAAACGATCACATGTTCCGCGATGCTGCTTTTTGTTCGCAGGGTCGGATCTCGGGGCCTCGCTCGTCCCGAGACAACCACGGTGTGAAGCCTCTGGGCATCTCCTGCCCCCGTGGGCTCTCGCGGGGTCCCAGGGCCCGTGACAGAACGACACCCTTGCGGCACAAGAGCCCGAAGAGCTTCATTCAGGTACGATTGGGGGGGCCGCGATGGGGGTCACGATGGGGTGCCACGACGGGGAGCCACGATGGCGGGATCGGGATGAGGGATAGGGGTCGGGCAAGGGATGTACGGATATCGGAGGTGTGGGGGGGGGGTGAGATCGCAGTGGAACGGAGAGCCCCCCCCCCCACGGGGGCATGGGCTTCGGTTTCGTGTTCGTGTCGTGCGTGTGGACGAGGCGAAGCTGCGCGGGCGCTCGAGAGGAATGACCCTGCCGTCGTTAGGGCGATTCGGATGCAATGGACCGCCCCTCCGCCCCGGGTGGGCGCGCGGTGGCACGGGTTGTCGCGCCGTGGTGTGTGTCCCGTTGGCGTCCCGTCGGTGTCCCGTCGATGTTCCGTCGGCGGTGGGCGGGCGGTGGCCGGGGGTGCTCCGCCTTGGTATCGATAGTGAAATCGATAGTGAGATCGCTAGAGCAGGATGGATCGTGAGATCAAAAGTGAGGTCGAAAGTGAGGTTGATTGTGACTTCTTTGGTTGTGAGATCGATAGTGAGATCGATAAAGGAATCGATAGTGATATCGGCAGTAGATCGATCGTGAGATCGAAAGCGATATCCATAGTGAAAACAATAGTTACATTACATCGCACCGCAACGTCGTCATCACGCTTCGTCGATCTCTCGAGGGCGCGTCACCAGCAGCGTCATCATTACACCCATCGCATTTGCCAGCAGTTGGTTCTTCCCCCCCACCCCCCAACCTGCTTATCACCCGAATAGTGGTCGTAGAGGTAATGATAGGGGTTGGAATATAGCACAGAGATAACAAGGGATAGGGATAGAGGCAGGAGGCCACGGATAAGGACGGCAATGGGAGGCCACTGGACACGTCGGGAGACGACCTCGCCCGCCCGATTCCAGACCCGGCAGTCCACCCGCTCGCCACGTGGGGGAGGGCCTACAAGACCCGTGCAGATAAGCCGCAGGAAGACACGGCTCGAGAGGCAGAACTGGCCTCGGGGAAAGTGAAGGGCAAGGATAGGGGGCGATGTGGATAGGTCGGGAGACATCGACCTGGAATCAGCGACACATCGCCGAGGGATCCGCGATGGGCCCCCGATGGCGAACCCGCACCCTCCTGGATGGGGTGGGGCCCTCAGACCCCTACTGGCGATCAGTGGGCGATAGAGGGCCGATGCATCCCCCCGATCGTTGCCCCTGGGAAAAGTCGGGAGCGGCCAAGAGGGGGGTGTCCAAGAGAGGGGGGTGCAAATCATGGCCGGCGGCATGTGCGCGGCCCGGCGGGGGGGCCAGGAACGTAATGGAATAAGAAGAGGCGCCATGAAATCCGGGGAAATATCATGGCCCCCGCCATGATAGCCACCCCCCCCCCTGGTCTTCCCCCCCCTCTTTTCCGCCCCCGAAACAGGGTCCATGCCTCTCGGGATCGACGCTGCTTTTCGGACATCACGGCGACGGAGATCCGGGCTGCCCCTCGTCCTCCTCCGCGCCTTCGCCCTCCGTCCTCCAGCGCGTGCCCTCTGGGCCCACCGAATCATGCTACAGCGAAGGAGGAGGAGGGGGAGCGAGGAGGAGGAGGAGGAGGCGGAGGAGGAGGAGGAGGAGGAAGAGGAAAAGGAGAGGAATAATGCCACTCGTAACGATGATGGCAATACAGTCGGACCTAGGATAAAAAGACACCCGTCAAGACCATGAGACCCTCCGTCGGCCAGAACACACAGAACATCCACAAGTACCCTCCCCAGGATGCACAGGAACATCTAGCAAACACGAAGAACACGAAGGTCCCCTCTCCGAACCGACCTCGATCTTATACCTTGGTCTGGCTGTAAAAGAAGGAGAGGTGAGACGGTTCTCCCGAGACTCGATGCGAGAGGTACTGGCATTCAGTGCGAAATTGATGACGCGGCACATGAGCGTTGTCGCACCAATTGCCCTGAGAAACAACCAATTCTGGCAGTCGCCTGCTGAACCGGCAATTCACTCGATTCGGTAGCCTCATGAGAGAAGAGACGAGGCAATCGTGGGCAAGCGCAGGACAGAGGACGACATCAATAATGGTGCATCTCTCTCTCTCTCTCTTTATGTGTAGGTATATATATATATATCCTTATTTGTCTGCAACTAGACACATATGCATTTACACATACATGTACCTGTACATACACATATACATACACATATGCATATACACATACATGTACACACATATGCATATTCTACGAATTATTCCGTCCAGGGCGACAGCGACGACGACGGCAGTGGCGACAACGACGAAGACACCGACAATGGCGCCGATGACGACCACTGCCCACTACGACGACGGTCGACAATGGTGGGGACGACAACGGCGGCGGCGACGACGACCACGACCTTGTCGACCAGGACGGCGGCGGCGACGGCGCCGGCGACGACGACGAGGACGACCCCCACGACGGCGGCGACGGACAACGAGGACGGTCGAAGACGACGACGACGGCCGCGGCGATGCCTCGGGCAGCGTAGCCGGAGGCCGCCCGCTCCGCGAAGAGACCGGCGACGTGGCCCCGCAGGGCCGAGGCCTCCTCCCGCAGCCGCAGGATCTCGGCCTCGCCGCGTCTCCTCCGGGCGACGACGGGGCGGTCGCCGCCTCGTCCGCCGCCGTCGTCGTCGTCGTCGTCGTCGTCGTCGTCGTCGTCGTGGTCGTCGTCGCCGACGTTCGTCGTCGTCGCGTCGTCGTCGTCGTCGGTGTCGTTGTCGTGGTCGTCGTCGTCGTCGTCGTCGTCGCCGTCTCCTCCTCCTTGTCCACTTCATTTCTCTCCTTCCCCTTCTCCTTCTCTTCTTCCTCCTCGTCCTCCTTTTCCTATCTCGTCCCCGCTGAGGCTCGTTTGGGCGACTTCGGCATGGCCAGGGGGGCGGCAGGAGGGGCGGGGACGAGGACGAGGAGGAGGGGGAGGATCAGGACGAGGAGGGACAAACGGGAGGACGAGGAGGATGAGAAGGGAAAGGACTAGAGAATGGACACATTACGCTCGCCAGCGGAAGCAACATAAGAGTAGTATTGGCAGCGGAGGCCGTCGTGGTAGTGCAGTTGAAAGCTGTGGTGTTGGTAGTAAAGACGAATATGTTTGCCACCGTGGACCTCGAAGGTTATTTTTAAGTCCCGATGTACACCCGATTTGCTGCACCATGACAGCGGCAATGTATGCGTTGCAAGGTGTGCGGCGCAACCTATGTGGTGGAAGTTTGCGGCGGCAGATGTATGGCGCAAGCTTGGGGGTGAACGCTGCGTGCTGCGCGTTGCAACTCGCCACCCGAAATCGCAGTCGTCAGCTCGCGCTCTCGCGCAAACGAAACATCCCATCCTTCCACCCACAACTGACTTCGCAAAACCTCTTCGGCTACGAGTGCGGCTGCCGATCTGAGCTGGCTGCAGTTAGTTTGCGCAACTCTGCGGCCGCACTGGCGCGCGCCCGCTCACGCGCAGGTCGGCCAACTAGTTTGGCTCGAATAGTGCGACCGCGTTGGCGTTTACCGATGGAAGCCTTCCAGCGCGTCTCAAAAACCGCGCGGGCGCGCGGGCACTTCAATGCGAATCAATGATTAGGGCGGGCGCATAATCATGATGACATTTGCAACGGCGACGACGTCGACGATGACGACGGAAATGACGATGCCGACAGTGGTGATGATGACAATGATGATGCTGATGGTGCAGGCGATGGCAATGGTGCCGCTGACGAGGATGATAACAATTGCGTTGGTGAAGATGGTGAGAAAATGTGCGTCAACAGATATCACGGCACCCAGACATGCTCCCAAACCGCGCGGGTGGAACATGCGCGTGCGGCCCTGGTGGTCGTCATTTACAGAATTGGTGGGCGCGCGGTGGTGGTTAAGCTATGCCGACATGCGCGCGCGAGCGGTCCTGACGGTCTTACTTGACAGAAAGGCTGAGAACAGACGGCTTTCTTCAAACACTTCTTGAGATTCCAACGAGTGCGCGCTCTCAGAATCACGGTTCCTTTTTTCCTGCATGCGTTTTGAATCCATTAGTTATCCATGTCCGGATACGGTTAACAAAAGGCCATGGGTTTTTGGCGGATTCTGACCTTAGCGCGGCGGCGCGCGCGTGGACTTTGTGGTATCTGCTGTACGGTGTTCTTGAATTATGTTTCTTGACGTAAGCGAGTCTGCGCCCGTAGTCGGAGGTTGGGGGGTGAGATCGCAATGAAACGGAGACCCCCCACCGGGAAATCGGTTTCGGTATCGTGTTCGTGTCGTGCGTGCGGGCGAGGCGAAGCTGCGCGCGATCCTCCTGTAGCTAAGCCGAAGTAGGAGCGAAAGTCCGTTCCCCGTCCGCCGGTGGCCGGGAGGTGTCCCAGTTGGGCCGGGCGGTGTCCCGGGTGTCCCGGGTGTCAGTAGGAGCGAAAGTCCGTTCCCCGTCCGCCGGTGGCTGGGAGGTGTCCGAGTTGGGCCGGGCGGTGGCCCGGGTGTCCTGGGTGGCCTGGGTGTCCCGGGTGTCCTAGGCGTTCCGGCGCTAACGCATGTGGCTAATTTCATAATTCATTTTTTTCGGCGCCTGCGGCGGGCTTTCTTATCCAATCGAGCTTATCTTATCCAATCCATCTTGTCCAATCCAATCCAGACACAGAGAGAGAGAGAGACAGAGAGAAAGAGAGAGATGAGATCAAGATGACAGGCTGGAGGTCAGTCAGGGTGGGCATTTGATCTCACTCCCCAACCTCCTTATCGCCCGCAGGGCAGTCGTATAGGTATTTCGTGACAGAAGTGAGATGGGGGAGGAGCTTCGATGCAAGTTGGCCTGGGGTGGCATTTTTTCACCCAGAAATGAACAGCCTGGCATCACAACATGCAAATTTCAACGCAGCAAAGCACAGTTAAGTCAATACTCGGAAAGGGGGCCGAATAGCTGGATCTTATTATTATTATTATTATTATTATTATTATTATTATTAATATTATTACTATTATTATTATAGTTATAATTATAATTATATTTTTTTGAAAAAACAAGAATGTATCCAACGTTATGCGGCCTGGCGGGTACACTGCACGCAGTGCAATCTATGGGGTGGCACTAATGGCGCGAGCTATTTGGTGCACTGCAGCGGGGGCAACAAGTGGCACGCGTGCCGTGGCTCTTGCACAGAAAGGAAGAGGGAGGAGCCGAAGGGGGCGCGCTGGCTCGTGGACGGGGTGGCGGAGGGGGCGCTCGGGATGGAGGGGGCTGGTGGGTAGGGGGGATGCGGGGTGCGCGTGCCGTGCCGAAATAAAAAAAATGGGTCGGGGCGGAGGGGGCGCGCGGGGGAGGGGATGCGGAGGGGGTGTGCCGTGCCGAAATAAAAAGGTCGGGGCGGAGGCCGGAATGAAAGGTGTCGGGGCGGAGGGGGCGCGCTGGCTGGTGGGTGGGGGGATGCGGATGGGGGTGTGCCGGCCGAAATAAAGAGGTCGGGGCGGAGGGGGTGTGCCGTGCCGAAAAAAAGAGGGGTCGGGGCGGGGGGGGGGGGGCGCTGGCTGGTGGGCGGGGGGGATGCGGATGGGGGCGCGGGGATTGGGGGGGGGTCCTGCCGAAATAAAAAAGGGTCGGGGCGGGAGGGGCACTGGCGGGCCTGGAGCCGCGGGGGGGGCGCTGAGACGGCGCGGGGGAGGGGGCGGAGCGGGGGAGGGGGTGCGGGCCGAAATAAAGTGGTCGGGGCGGAGGGGGCGCTGGGCGGGCGCTGGAGCCGCGGGGGGGCGATGAGACGGCGCGGGGGAGGGGGCGGAGCGGGGGGGTGCGGTGCCGAATAAATGGTCGGGGCGGAGGGGCACTGGGCGGGCGTCTGGAGCCGCGGGGGGCGCTGAGACGGCGCGGGGGAGGGGGCGGAGCGGGGGGGGGGTGCGGTGCCGAAATAAAGTGGTCGGGGCGGAGGGGGCACTGGGCGGGCGCTGGAGCCGCGGGGGGGGCGCTGAGACGGCGCGGGGGAGGGGGCGGAGCGGGGGGGGGGGTGCGGTGCCGAAATAAAGTGGTCGGGGCGGAGGGGGCACTGGGCGGGCGCTGGAGCGCGGGGGGGCGCTGAGACGCCGGGGGAGGGGGCGGAGCGGGGGGGGTGCGGTGCCGAATAAAGTGGTCCGGGCGGTGGGGGCACTGGGCGGGCGCTGGAGCGCGGGGGGGGAGCGTTGGACGGCGCGGGGAGGGGGCGGAGAGGGGGGGGGGGTGCGGTGCCGAAATAAACTGGTCGGGGCGGAGGGGCACTGGCGGGCGCCGCAGCGCGGGGGGGCGCGGGACTGCGCGGGGGAGGGGGCGGACGGGGAGGGGGGTGCGTGCCGAAATAAAATGGTCGGGGCGGAGGGGGCACTGGGCGGGCGCTGGAGCCGCGGGGGGGCGCTGAGACGGCGCGGGGGAGGGGCGGAGCGGGGGGGGAGGGGGCGGAACGGTGCCGAAATAAAGTGGTCGGGGCGGAGGGGGCACTGGGCGGGCGCTGGAGCCGCGGGGGGGCGCTGAGACGGCGCGGGGGAGGGGGCGGAGCGGGGGGGGGGTGCGGTGCCGAAATAAAGTGGTCGGGGCGGAGGGGGCACTGGGCGGGCGCTGGAGCCGCGGGGGGGCGCTGAGACGGCGCGGGGGAGGGGGCGGAGCGGGGGGGGTGCGGTTACCGAAATAAAGTGGTCGGGGCGAGGGGCGCACTGGGCGGGCGCTGAGGCCGCGGGGCGCTGGAGACGGCGCGGGGGAGGGGGCGGAGCGGAGGGGGGGGTGGTGCGTGCCGAAATAAAGTGGTCGGGCGGAGGGGGGCCCGCGCAGGCGCGGAGCGCGCAGGGGCGCTGAGACGGGCGGGGAAGGGGAGGGAGCGGGGTGGGGGTGTGCGCGGTCCGAAATAAAAGTGGTCGGGGCGGAGGTGCACTGGGCCTGAGGCGCCGGCAGCCGCGCGGGGGCGCTGAGACGGCGCGGGGGAGTGGGCGGAGCGGGTGAGGGGGGTGCGGTGCCGAAATAAGTGGTCGGGGCGGAGGGGGCACTGGCGGGCGCTGGAGCCGCGCGGGGGCGCTGAGACGGCGCGGGGGAGGGGGCGGAGCGGGGAGGGGGGATGCGGTGCCGAAATAAAGTGGTCGGGGCGGAGGAGGCACTGGGCGGGCGCTGGAGCCGCGGGGGGGCGCTGAGACGGCGCGGGGGAGGGGGCGGAGCGGGGGGGGGGTGCGGTGCCGAAATAAAGTGGTCGAGGCGGAGGGGGCACTGGGCGGGCGCTGGAGCCGCGGGGGGGCGCTGAGACGGCGCGGGGGAGGGGGCGGAGCGGGGGGGGGGGCGGTGCCGAAATAAAGTGGTCGGGGCGGAGGGGGCACTGGGCGGGCGCTGGAGCCGCGGGAGGGCGCTGAGACGGAGGGGGCGCATGATGATGATGATGTGGATGATGATGATGATGATGATGATGATGATGCTGATGATGGTGGTTATGATGGTGATGATGATGGTGATGATGATGATGATGATGTGGATGATGATGATGTGGATGATGATGATGATGATGATGATGATGATGATGATGATGATGATGATGAAGGGGGGGGGCGGTGCCGAAATACAGTGGTCGGAGCTCTAGACACCCTGTGCAAGAGAATTAACGCGGCGCAAATATGCCGCGCGCCTGAGGGGGAGGACCATTGCGGCAAAACCAATCGCTGCGCCGCAAGCGATGCGCGCGCATGCGTGCGCGAGCGGGCGCACGAGGCGGGCGGCTTGGACGACGCGGACACCTCCGTGAGATGGGCAAGCGACGCGCGCATCTGGATGCGCGAGCGGGCGCGCGAGGCGGGCGCCCCGAACGACGCGGACACCTCCGTGAGATGGGATATTGGGATGGGCGCACAAACCCAAGTCGTGCACATCAGACCGCGACGGCGTGAAGGATGCTAACATCCACATGTGCGCATGGTGAGCAAGCCCTGTTGTATCCGCTCCCCGCAATGGGCGCTGGGGAAGGCGCGCGGGGCGCCAATGCCGCCCCCGCGCGGGTGCTGCTTTCGCGCGCCAGGCGGCGGGGGCGAATGGCCCTTCCGCTTGCCCGACAATCTAATGAAGAACGAGCGCAAGGTCTCGACCGTCGCGCATGCGCGGGCCATGGGTTCGCGCGTTCAGCCCGCGTTTCAAACCAGACTTATGTTTTGATTGCTGGCGTATTCATTCCATATTGACACCCTGGGATGTTATGGCGATGCGTGGGAAATCGGAGCGCAGACGCTGAAGTCCGCGCGGGCCGCTAAGTGCGTGGCAGTGGAGTACCAACAAGCCGCGCGCGCGCGGATTCTATTTCGGTGATTGTGGTGATAGAGATGACGATGCTGAACCTGATGACGATAATGATGATGCTGACGATGATGATGATGGTGATGACGACGATGGCAATGATGATGATGGTGGTGACGATGATAATGACGATGCTGATGCTGATGATGATGCTGATGATGATGCTGATGACGATGATGATGCTGCTGATGATGATGAGGATGGTAGTGGTAATGATGATGATGATGATGATGATGATGATGATGATGATGATGATGATGATGATGATGATGATGATGATGATGATGATGATGATGTTGATGGCGGTGATGATGCGGAGGAGGAGGAGGAGGAGCAGGAGGAGGAGGAGGAGGAGGAGGAGGAGGAGGAGGAGGAGGAGGGGGAGGACGAGGAGGAAAAGCTTGGCGAGGAGAAAACATAATGAACTGTTGCTGCCCCCGGATTCCCAATCCTCTCGGCGGTTACCTCTGCCAGCTGCCCAGAGGTGTTGTACAGCTGCTCGCCCCAAAACGCCACCTGGCTGAGGAGGAGGCGGAGAAGACGGCGGAGGAGGGGGGAGGAGGAGGAGGAGAATGAGGAAGAGGCGGACGAGGATGAGGAGGCAGAGGAAAAGCTGGAGTGGAGCATGAGGATGTGGAGGATGAGGGGGAGATGGGAGAGCGGAGGAAAAGGCGGAGAGGCGTAATAGGATAAGGATGCCGAGGCAGAGTTGACAGTGGTGGAGTATTGGGAGGGACAAGCGAACGAAGAGAATGAGGAGTTGGGCGAGGAATCTGATGTGGGCCAGCAGGAATGATACAGCTGGTCGCCCTGGAGCGTCGCCTGGCTTACGACGTCAGAGCGGCTCAACAACTACCACATCGGCAACACAGAGGGGGGCTCCGTCACAGACCCAGAACGCGCAACGCGAGGAACCCGCATAACCAAAATCAGAAGGCCTGAACCACTAACCTGGACGAACAAGAAGAACAGAAACCAGATCCGATGGGAACCCGAGTGCGGCCGCCCGATGTATTTTCAGATCGGTCCGCGCCTGGCGCAGCCGCCACCACTCCTGAGGGAACGAAACATGTGCCGACACCGCTGCTCCCCAGACCTCTCCTAGGACGCGTTCCGACCAGAAAGCGACTCCAGCCACGGCGACGATGGCCCCCCGCGAAGGCCGCAATCACTGCAAAATCGAGGGAGGGGCACGGGCATCGATATGATTGTCAACACCTCAATCACAATCTTTCTCTGGACCCCTCCCAGAGTCTATCCTTGCACAATTTTCCATCGTGAGTCGACTTCTGACGGCCCCGGCGGCCAAAAAAAGGCCTCGAGACGCCGAAAAAAATGACAATCAGCTTGCTTGACCCTCGAAGTTACCCCTCGAGGAGGTATCGGTATATCGTGAATCACGAGACCGATGAATCAGCGGTGGTGAGGCCCCCGATCACGAGACCAATCGCTCCTGGGTGTGCATGGGGGTCCAGGCCCCGCTTGGTGACGAATGAGGGGCGGGGGGTCGCTGCCTCTCCTCCCTGGGCCAATCCCCCCCGTCGCGGCTCCAGAGGGACCCGGGGAGGGGAAGGCCCTTGGAACGCGAAGCTGTTGGCGGCGCGCGCAAGAGGGGTCATGGCAGGGGGTACGGCTTCTCAGAAAGGAGACTGCTTCTTAGAAGGCGCCGGCCTTCCATTGACAGACAGGGCCCGCGCCTCCTGAGCAGCAGGGGTGCTTCTAAGAAGCCTTCCCCACCCCCCTGCCCCCCTCTGCGCGTGGCCGAAGCTGGGGACCACACCTCCGGGACCCGCTTCGATTGATCCCCAGGACGTGTGCTAGCGCCACCGTGCGCTTCTCCACCAGAAGCCCTTCCGCGGGACGCGGGCGGGACAACGAGGGCCCACACGGGGTAGACACGCGGGGCCAACGGCTGACACACGTCCTGAAGAGCATCGGCCGTTCCCAGATCCACGACGTTCTGACGTTTGCCACAGCGCCGATCCCGAGAGGCCTCGGCCCACTCCCCGGGACGGGCAGTTCATCCCGAGTCCTTCCTTGACGGCCCCAGGGCCCGCGAGGGCCCCCGGAGCCAGGTAATGGCAAACAGCGGTCCGCCGTGATTTTTTCGCGACGAGAGGGGGTCTGGATCTTCCTCCGACGATGTGTGTGTGTGTGTGTGTGTGTGTGTGTGTGTGATTTTTTCCGTGCGCGGGCCTGAAACTTTCGCCATGTTCCCAGGGGGGAGGTTCTCGTCCCGGATCCACTGTCGAAGGCCCGTGGGGACCGGGCCCCACGGGCCCCAGAGGCCGAAGTCGAGGAGCAAACCGCCTGGCTGCGAAAAATCACGTCGTCGGAGCTGCGATGCAGGGACGTCTGCGTGGGGCGTCGCGGCAGCGGCCCGTCGACAGGCGATGCCAGGCAAGCGGGTGGCGTGCCGCTCCGCGGCGCGGGGCGGGGGGCCGCGAGAGGCTCGGGGCGTCGACGCTCGGGGGCCGGGAAGTATACGGCGTGGCGAGCTGGCGAGCGTGGTGGGCCGGAGCTGGCGGCGCGATGCGCCATCTGGAAGTGCCCGGTCGTACGGGTTTCCTGCAGGGCCTCTCGCCTTCCCCAGAGGAGCCCAGAATCGAATCGATGCATCGGGCTGGCGATCGACGTGAATCGGGCCGGCGAAAATCGGCAGCCTAGTTGGGAGAAGTCGAATCGGCAGAAATCGGCAGGCCACTGAGGCCTGCACTGAAACACCGAATTCCAAATCGGAATCCGAAATCGACTCGAATCGGAAGACATCGAATCGCACCGAATCAAATCGGAAGAGTCGGCATGCGCCCTGCCCCTCCGCTTGAGCTCCATGCGCGTCGCCAGCAGGGCCGATGATAGTGATGCGGCTGAGAATGATGCTGCTGCTGCTGGTGATGATCGTGATCCTGATGCTGATGATTATGGTGATAATGATGATGATGCTGCTGTTGATGATGCTGACGATGATGCTTATGATGGTGATGGTATGACGATGGTGATGGCGGAGATGATGACGGTGAGGATAAATACGATGATACTGATGGTGATGATGATGATGATGATGATGTTGATGATCATGATGCTGATTTTTCCTCGACGTAAGGACAAAACTGCAGAGATGGCAGGTCTAAAGAAATAGTATACGGTCCGTCGCAGAGAGCCGGTAGTTCTCGGGATGCCCCGCGCGGGGCCACGCTCTGAGGGTGCTGGCACAGGGGGGCTGCGCTGCGCTGCCTCGGAACATTGTGGAAGAGGCTATACAAGGAGGAGGGCACTAGCGCCTATGGCACTATGTCGATGGCTGCACGCCATAATCTGCAGAATGTCAGTCTCACGCAGAAAGGTTAGCGTCGACCGATGATGATCGCATCCTGCCCTGCCGTCCTCCTTGACCGTGGACTGTGAGTTGCCGCCGAGCTCATCGTGCGTCCGTGCAAATTGTTCCTCGTCGAGATCGCGGATGTGCTCCATTGCCGAACTGTTGACAGCCATCAGCGCGCCGACCTGGTCCCAGAAGGGGTGAGAGACGGTGGCGTCGTACGCGCGCTCGATGGCCAGGCATGCGATCTCCTCGCTGGTGCCTGTAAGGCGAGTCATCTCAGTAGCGAGGGCCTTGTTAATGGCGTCGTGGATGACAACAAGGATGAACTCGTCGATGGAATCGGCCATGGAAGGAGCATCTGTGTCAGCGTAGCAGGTGTCAACAATCTCGCGATCCTTCGGACGGCTGGTCTCGTCCCTGAGCGTGGAGGTGTGGTAGCACATCAGCTCCTCTTTGTTAGTGGGGTCCATCATGATGTCCGCCTTGGAATCGAAGTTGCTGGAGTTGGGGCACGTCTCGAAGTAGTAGCCCATGGGTTCCTTGATGCTGCCCTCGGGGAGCCGCTCGGGCTCGGCGCAGATCTCTTCGTAGGGAGTGGGGCCATTGGTGGTGCACGGAGAGCGAGAGACGCCATTGATGCGGTCCTCGGCACGGGTCTGCTGCACGTCCAGACGGAGGCACTTGCCAAATTGCTCGTGGAGCTTGTTGTAGGTGTCCTGCTTCTCGGTTATCTCCGCGAACAGTTCTAGGCAGTGCTTGACGAGGTGCTTCCTGATCACACGCGTGATGTTGTTCTGCTGCGGGGTCTGGCACATTATGTTCTGCGGCAGAAATTTCGAATGGATCGCGCCTTTCACAATGTGGAACCACTCGGGCATGAACTCATCGCAGGAGTCCGTGAAGAAGACGCTCCGCTCGGAGAGCTGCATGTGATTACACAGCTTCGCGGACTCGAGGGGAGCCCGAAGGGGCGCGAAGAGCAGCGCGTGGATATCGAGCGGCCCCTCGATGCTGACATGCTTCGTGGCCAGGTGGTTCGCCCCTTCGTTGTACATGGGCGTGTAGAAGGAAGCGTGCTCCTCGTTTGTGGCGCCCTCAGGCTTGCGCAGCCAGATCGGCGTGCTCTGGTTGAGCTGGTCCCTCACGTGCGACAGGCCAGGCGGGAGGCCCAGGGCGGCTCCGTGGCAAATGTGGCGACGGCGGGCTCGTTGCCGGTGCGCCTGGGCGCGCGAGCGCCTCGCCCCAGACGGGGGGGCGCCACTGCGCGTCGGGCTCCGCGTCAGCTCCATCGGAAGCCTCCTCGCCACGCCGTCAGGCGAGCGGTGCCCGCGCGCTGGAGCACAGCCTGCAGCATGGCCCTGGCGCGGGGCGCCGTCGGAAGGCCCTCTGCCTCAGTGTTGGGCGGGGGGGCGCTGATGAGGAGGCCGCTGCTTCAACGATGGCCTGAGCTCGCGGCGGCCTTTGATGATGATGATGATGCTGATGATGATGATGATGCTGATGATGATGTGTTTTCCCGCCCTGTGTCGTGCAAAATAATAGACCCGAGGGACTTTACCACCCCTGCTGTAGCCTCGGATTTTGTGCGCGTTGGGCCTGCATGCCGTCGGAGCCCTTCTTCTGACCTCGCGCATGATATCGGAATTCTACGGCTAAAACCACCGTCCTACCCCAACTAACCTCCATTGATGAAACAAAAGTCTTCGTACTCATGGCAATCATCTGTTTTCAATGCCTTGAGCTTCTGGAACACGTGGGAGTCACCCAGCCGCCAAGTTAGGTGCAGCTCGAGGTCCGTCGCGCCGTAGGTGCAGCCAGAGGCCCGTCGCGCTGGGCCATATCGCGTTGAGACGGCGCAGCACGCGAGGCAAGCCTGCAACTTGCCAGCGGCTTGCAGGATGGGAGGTCTGGCGCCTGATGCCCTCGGGCGTCTTGCGAACCGCGAGACGTGCTGTTGAGCGAAAAAAGGGGAACTGCACAATTTCGCCACGGTCATCGGCCGCGCTCTATGCGCGGAAGGCGCGCGGAGACTGTCCTCGCATAGGGGGTCCATTGACCGGTCGTCTTCCCATGCGCCCTGCATCTGAATTTGCACGCATCGGGCCGTCTGGAAGGAAGCACGTCTAAAAAACACTTCCGACGGAATCGTTATTTCGAGCTTCGAAGCGAAGGGCGAAGGCTCCATGCTCAGCGTCGCAACGAACAAGCAGGTCTGGATTGTTGTTCGGGCCGTCCAGGAAAACGATGGCGTCGTCCTTGGCACGGAGATCCGCCGCCAGGCCTACCGACTGCACGAACATTGCGTTTGCAAGAACAGTGTTCTCGACTAAAAAGTAAAACGCTGCGTGTGCGATCTCACCACTGCAAATCATGCCCATCCCGCTGCCGCTCAGGACCTGCCAAATGGCGTCGAAGCCTGCGGCCTCCACAAACTGGTTCTCCAGGGTAAACGTCAATGCAGCAATGTACATATGTTGTCGGCGCTCCTGGGAAAACCTCGAACTGCGATTAATTAGCGCCTCATGTGGCCCACCCAGAAACAATTTTGTATGTCTATCTTTATGATGGCCACGCGCGGTGTGAACGATTGATGCCGCAATGCTTGCAGAAATTTGGGGGATTCAGAGAATCTACTGGCGTAAAAGATGGCTCACGTACCGCGTGGTTGGAACAAATGGGTTCCGCGGGCGCATGCAGTGAAGGAGCCGTGCCGTACAATTCCCCTGGGCCTTGGGGGTCTTGGCTGCGGCGGAGGCCCTGGGCCGGATGGCGCCAGCATCCGAAGAACTGCTGACCAGAGCTCTCAACAGATCTTTGTCCCGGTGTCTCTTCCGATGCTGCAAATGCCCTTGTACATCTCCAAATATTCGTCGCCAGCGTCTCGCGCGCGCATGTCGAAACAATGCGCGCCAAGCTCGCGGCGCCACGCAGGATTCCGAAAACTGGAAACGAAAACCATGCAGCTTCAGTTTGTGACATAAAACGAAGCCGCTGTCCTTGTCTGTAGGAACACTCCAAACGCCATGCCGCAAAACCCGCAAGGCGGACGTGGTGACCTTTGGGGGTGCTGGAGACGAGCCATGACGGATCTGTGTTCTCACGCACGCGTCCCACACAGATCTCACCAATTCCTCCATGAAGGGAGCATGCGGCTGAGGGGCTTAACCAGGAATGTGGCGGGTGATAGTAGGTCTCTCAGCCAAGAAACACCACTCTCGAGGTCCATCTCCAGAAAAATGTTGTCGCTAAGCGGGTCAAATTTCCTCGGCTTCAGCTTAGTTGATGTAGCGGCGGCTTACGGGTACAACAAAAACGTGATTACGATGACATCGGCGTAGATACCCCACAGTCCAGTTCGCACTGCTCAGCTACGGCACCGCAGTGGTCTTCTTCATCAGGTCGCACAGGTCGACCCCAGGATAACCTTTGCCGCACGTCAACAGGTTGCTCAACAGGCTGCTCAACGTCAACAAGACCAACGATTGGAATTCAGCGATGACTGCCTGGCGGTGGCAACAATTCGGAGGGCATGAAGACGTGAACGGACGATCCCAGTGGCGACCAGATCGCCGATGCCCTTCCCTGATGTGTTGTAGCCTCAACCATTTCCGCGCTGCCCACGAGCTTTGGGCTTGGGTTTGGCTCTAGGCTGTGTTATTCGGCTTGGGATTCGGGGCCAGACTGCCTGTTCTGTCCTTGCCTTGCGGGGTCGGCTTTTCTTTCGGTGTCCCTTTCCCTTTCCTTTGTCCTTGCCGTTGTCGAGCGCCTTGCCCTTGCCGTTCGCCTTGCCCTTGACGATCGCTTTGCCCTTGCCTGTCCCTCCGCGGCCCGCGTTGGGCTGGCTGTTTGTTTTGGGGCGTCGACACTGCGTCCGAAGATAAAATCCCAAAGGCTACATCTCCAAAGGCTGCTGTGTTGCACCATGAGGAAGGCGCCGACGATGGAATCTCTGAAGGGATAGTGGACCGAGTCTTTCTCGCAGCATGGGTCCGCGAGTCGATCGCGTGATTCAGGAGCTCTGGATGTGGCTTGCTGGACATCTCATCTGCGATCTGCTTGCGTTTGGCCTCTTCCCTCCGCTGTTGGTCGATCTTCTTCTGCTTGCGAGCCGACGCCTGGTCCACAATCTTCATGCATATGGCGGCCAGGCGCGGCTGCAGCACGGTGGAGTGACCAAGCGAGACAGCATCGTCATCATCGATTACCCAAAACTGAACTGGGGAGGCTCTGATCGACTCAACCGCGGGACATTGCGTCACTAAGCGGTCCTTCGAACACTTAGTCTTCACCTGCTGCTGTTCAGCTCAAACCTTCAGATCAACGCGCCATTGCGCTGCAAGGTACTTTGACAACTTCCTCTTGACATCCCGAGCAGACAGATTGGCAATGCCGACTGTCGCTGATTCGTCAATGCCCATGTGAACGCTGTCTATGTGGGGTGTCTCGTACGACCCAGAGAACGGCCTGACACCCGAAACCAACATCTTTTCTCGAGCGCTTTCAGCTGCTCCGTGAAGGCGTCCCTGCGGTCGAAGAGCCCCCGGAGCGCGTCGATCGAGGCAGTCGGGGTGTTCGGGGCCCTCTTGACGTGTCCCTGGACCCCTGGGCTGACTGAATACTGAATACACTGAATAGAGTCCCGCGGAAGGCACCCACGCGGGTGCAGCGGGTTGGCGCCGGGGCGCATATGTTGGCCTCTCAGACTCTGGAGTTGGTACTTTGAGCAGCCGGGATTAGAAGAGCCGGAGTCGGAGACGGAGAGGCGCCGGACGCCGGAGTCGGACAGAAGAGAATCTGCTATCTGGAAGTTGACCTAGGCCGCTCATTGCTTGGGCTGACATCGCCCCTCAACTGCTCGCCGATCGTGGGTTTCATGCCATCGCATGCCTCCGGGGTGCCCGTCGGCGCCCGGGCAACACGCCCCGCAATGCATCCCACCTGCAAACGCCTGCGACGCTAGCTGCAACCCTGGCGGTGGCAGCATCACGGGGGACGCTGCCAGGAAACCTGCTGCAGTACCCGACCCTGTGAGGTCTGCTGGTGGCTGCGCTGGCGGCAGCGACTTTCCCCTTTCGCAGGCGGTGCTTGGAGGAAGAGTCGCCGCTGTTGCTCAGTTCGTTGTTCTTGCTCTCCCGGCGTGCCGTCAGCTAAAAAGTGACATAAACCAGGGGTGATGTGAGCGTTTGTGCTGCTAGGGCGACTCCCGCCCTGTGGCGTGCAGAGTAGGCCTGGGTGACTTTGCTGCCCCTGCTGTAGCATCGGATTTTGAGCGCGTGAGGCCTAGATGCTGTCGGAGCCCTTCTTCTGATGCCTGCTTTTCGCGAAGGAGATAGGAATCATAGGGCTTCTAGGGCTTCTAGGTTTATAGGGCCTATCGTGCTCATAGGGCTTAAAAGGCTTACGCTCCGCTCGTTAAAAATAGAATCGGTGAAACTAGGTCTCGGCTAAACTAGATCGGAAGTTTCGGTCCCCGACCTCTGCAATTCCGAAAACTAGATCGGCCCGCTTGCATTATCATGTCCCATGCAGTAACATACTCTCCGATCTCCTTTCCATTCGCCCTTCCCACATACGCGTGCGCCTCGCAATGTGGCGGTCGGCTCGGCTGCGCTGAATTCGATCCGACCAGGCTCCATATACACGGAGTCATTCAAGGGTCGGTCTGCACAGTCAATCCTGCAGGTCACTCCGGGATCCAGGACTATCCACGGTCAGTCTGGACTGACCCAGGCTGGCCCCAGACTGACTCCGGACAGACCCCGGACAGACCTCAGGCAGACCCCAGATCCGACCCCGGACTGACCCCGGCCCAAACGGACCCCGCACGGAGCTCAGACTGGCCCCGGACTGACCCCCGACTGACCCCGGAATGTTCCCAGACTGTTCCCGGAAAATTCCCAGACTGACCCCGGACTGATCCCGGACTGATGCCCGCCTGAAGGCCCTCGGCCTTACTAATTGTTAGCAGCACATGTAAGTAGGTTATAAGTAAGTTGCAACTAGGTTGCAAGTAAGTTATAACCATTAGTAATGTTACTAAGTCGGCTAACTCGGGCGGTGCATTTGGAGGTAGATAGCTTGAGTTAGCGAAGTTGCTAACTTCGCTAACTTTTACATGCTTACTTGAAAACAGAGCTGCTGCATCGGGTTTTCCTTGGATGTTGCCTCCAGAAACGCATGCATGTGTTTGGATTTTCGGGATCACGCATATCGGAAATCATGATCCAGACTTGCGTGCGAACGCATTCAGAATATTGTATCGAGCGTTACAAGAATGTTGTGCATTGCAAATGCAACATATCATTTCGAATTCGCAACCCTCTGTTGCACATGTTTTTGAATGTCACTAGAGTTTGGGCTCCAGCCGTTTGGGCGAGGATTGCTGCTGGCGCTTGTGGCGTCCTCCTGCACGCGGCGTGATGAACGCCTCCCGTGAACAGCAGATCGCGGAGGTCCGCCCCAAGATGATGGCCATCAAGGACATGTACTTGCATCCTGATGCAGCGGTGGTCTCATTACTTGAAGACGTATGCAGCATTGCAAGAGGCATAGACTGCCTGAGGGTAGAAAAAATACACTCGAAGTATATGATGGTGTGCACAGAGAATCGTTACGGAGATGGAATCATTCCGAGCGAGGTTATGGATTTGATTTCCAAGATCTTCAAAAATGGATTCAAGAACTCAGCCCTCCAGAATCCAGCTTGCATGGAACTTCCACCAGTGGGCACGCCTGAGTACAATACAATCAAGAACTTCAATTTCAAAATAATGGAGGACTCAGCGGGCCAGCTGCCGCAGTATGATTGCGATGCAAAGTTCGCATCCTATACGTGCGGCCACACATCCATGGGTTTGCGTTGCATCAACGCAGGGGTTCCAGTACCCACGGTCATGCCAGAGCGTTTCGACAGAATCTCGCACCAAGGGAAATTGTCACTGACGAGGTTACGGGAGGTTCAACCAGACTACGCTAAGGCGTGTGACGAAGGAATTGAGTGGAAGGTCTTTCGGTACGAGTTCGTGAAGGAGTTCCCGTGGATTAGTAATCTTGCTCAGGAGGCTGGCAATGCAGGCCAACAAATTGCCAGATGCGAATCTCGCATGAGTCTCATGTACAAGATCGCAGCAATTGCCAACCGACACCACACGGGTGGCACCATGATCGATTGGGATAGTGTGATCCGCGAGGCGACTCGCGCAGGCTCTCTCTTTCCTGGGGAGATCGATGGCTTAGTAAAATATGTGAAGGAGTTGTCTGGCGGCCTCGGCAACCCGATCTTTCTGAACGAGCTTCGCGACTTCTCGCGGCAGCTGACCTCCCAGTGCGTGGTCACCCAGTGCGTGGTCACGGGTTCAATGGCGAAGTCTCTCGCCGAGGTGCAGATCAAGCATGAGGGGGCCGCTGCGACATTCAAGCTCGCATGCATGAAGGCGATGACATGTGCGACGGGTAAGTTCGCGAGGGATGGCCATCATATGCTTTTGAAGCCAGGCGACGTGACCGCCTTGTCGAGCGATAAGAAGTCTACGATTGTAATGGTGGCCGATGAATTTCTTCAGAAAGTGCGACAGATCGCATGCGGTGAGGGCATCACGGCAGACACGGTCGCCTACGGCACCATCGTGGGATTGACTGACGTTCGCGTAGTTCATTTCGTGTTCAACAAGCCCGATGAGCGCTTAGGCACTTGCAAGACGCTGAATGACATCGGGGTCAGCTTCACCACTGCGTTGGCAACGCACGTTGGCAAAGCAGTTGCTAGCCCATGGAAGCAGATCGGTCGCGAGGGCGCATCCAAAGCCGTGACAGGGCAGGCGCGTAGCTCAGATGTGAAAGAGTACACCGCTTCGGGCAAGTGGTCGAACCAAGTGGACAAGCTCAGTGACAAGGGGTTTGAGGTTGGCGCCAAAGTCGCCTTGGCGAGCGACACCTTGGGTGAGAACATTTACGAGCTGATCTCCATCGACGCTGCGACTGGCGTGAAGTTGAAGCTTCAGGCCACGGGCAGTGCGACATGCCACCCCATCGACGACTTCTTACGTGGCAAGTTCGTCGTGTCCACGATTATGAAGGACAGTCTTGCGACCTCGTCGCAATGCATGTGGAATGCATATACACCCCCACACCTTTGAATTCTCGTTCGTCGTTCCCTCATCTCATTTGGCTCTGCGTCGTCATGTCTCATCTTTTTTTCCCGCTGCTCCCCCATAGAGGAAACGATCGACAAGTTCGCTGATCATGGCCCCCTCAAGTCTGTCGATTACCAGTGGGGTATCGAGGAGGCCAAAATCAGGCTGGCCTTGGATGATGTATACAGCCAGAACGGCAACTGTCTCAAGTACTTGAGTGGCGTGATTACGCCTGTTAAGCTTCGTGCTCTCACCGTAACGCGTTCGTTTGAGGCTGAAGAGCTGGTGCTTGTCCCACTCTCTTCGGCAATCTACTTGAAGAAGCAGACTGATATAGTTCAGTGTGGGCATGTGTTCATGAAGACATACAAGGACCCCAAGGGATTGACGTTCAATATCGCGTTGGCCCCCAGTGGTGGCATCAAGATGCCTAAGGCTGAGACGAACACTGGCGTTGGAGGGCTGAAGCAGGCACCGTCTTCGCTCGTCATCCCCTTCTGGCTCGTACAGGATTCAGGTGAGCACGGCACCCCCCAACATGAAGCTCAAGACCGTCAAGTCTACAGCTGTCCCATCAGCGCATGTACCAATTTTGACAAACAAGTGCGCCATCAACAAGGGCGATGTCCTTAGCGCCCAGCTGGCATCGCCCATGCCCAAGCGCAAGGTAGACGATGTGCCTGCTGCGCCCGCGGCTAAGAAGGCCAGGAAGCGATGAGGCTCGCGTGTTGGCAGCACCGGTTACACATACCATGTGTCGTGGGGGGTGTTTATGAAATGTATGAAAGCATCGTCGGTATCGTTCCTCTGCAACCGTTGCATCATTGCGTCAACACGCATCGGACTCGTCTGCAATTGTCCATTGCATCGGCCCGCAGGCGTTTGGCTGTGCCCAAGCGAGTGCACTTTGCATCTGCGCACGCACTGCAGCTGCAGATGGCAGCGAGCGTGCAGCTCCGCACGGTCATCGAGGGGGGCGGCCTTAAGGATCGCGAGCCATGGGTCCCGAGGGCGGTGATGCATACGGCAGGGGGGCTCTTCGTGGAGCTGTCGAGAGCGGATCGGCAGCTGCAAACATTTATATCTGTGCCCAACCCCACCAAGAGCCAATCGCCTCTGGCGGCAAATTCGTTTTTCGATCAGATCTTGAAGATGCGCAACGCCGCTTGCACCGAGGCCATTTGGGATCACTTGAAGCAGGCCGACCCATTGCTTCAGCAAGATTGCGACAGGGCCAGCGTCATTAAGAACAATAGGTGTTCTCTGGATATGTCGCAATCGTGGACGCTTCGCGTATTCCCACCAGGGGAGGGGGAAGGAGAGGAGGAGGATGATACATTGGATGATGAGGTGGAGTGGCGGGGGAGGGGGGCGAGGAGGAGGGGCTGAAACAGAGGGGGGTGGTGGAGGAGAAATGGGAGGAGGGAAAGGGGGGGGAGGAAGGAGCATAAGGATGACAAAAAAAGGATG